TATATAACTTAGATTTTTCGGCTATACCAAAACGTGGACAATATATCTCACTTTCAATACCGACCATCCTAGACACAATGCAAATTGTTGTGCGAAATTTTGAAGCTCTACGTCGAATGATGTGCACTGTTCCTGATTTCAACAGACATACGAATAGACAGACATACGGACATCGTTAAATCAATTTCCTTTCAAGGTGGAGGGTTTAAAAAATGGTATATCTTAAAGCATTACAACAAATACTAAACTCGTGTTTTTTTTTTTTTTTTTTTTTTTTTTTTTTTGTCAAAAACGTCCACCGAGTACGTCGACTTTTAGGCAACGGTGTAAAGTTTTTTTAGACAAAAGAAAAACAGCTGTTCGATTCGGTTCAAAGCCCGTTTTGAAGTCCTGATAACAACTCTATGTGGAAATCTAGTTTGCGGTCTTACCACTATTTTAAAAAATCAGAATAGAACCTTGGTTGGGTGTTACGTGGAAGCAAACGAGGAAAATTCTTTGAAATTATATAGTTTATATTAATCAAATTAAAACCTAAAAGCTTTCCTTCAAAAGATATTATTCAAATATATATTTATACCACCCCTTTTAACATAATGCGCAATTATGCTCTTCATTTTGGAGAGAAACTTGTATTGTTTTTGTTTTAGGAATTCTTTCATATTTTTTCCAACAAGACTTCGATAACCAAACTTACTTTATATATTGCATGCTAGACGTTCGTTCATGTTTAACTAAAATAAAATCAATTTACAACAATAACTTGAACACGGTCAGCGGTTACAGTTATTGAAGATCAAAGCATATGATTTTATAATTCACTAATTTCCATCATTTAAAAAGTAATCAACTTTACGGCAATAATAAATGAAAATACTAATAAATAAGTATGCAGACAATTTGCAAACGCCGCTTTAAGCCAGTTTTATGTTTTTTTTTTGTTTTGTTTTCAACTAATTGTAGTTTTATGCAAATCATTAAAGTCTACCTTTACTTTTGGTTGTGGGTAATGCAATGCAGCGACTAGCATCAAACAATTTAATAATTACGTGTGTCTTAACTCGTGTTTATTTCGCTGAACAGGTTCTATTTGCATTTGTGGTTATTTACGGGGGGATGATTGGGGAGCAATGACTAACAGTGTAATTTTTGAATTTCTTCCCATCAAATTTTCTTGCATGCAAATTTAACTTTTCATTAGTTAGCATTATTAGTTAAGTGATTTGTTTCAACGATGTTTAATATAAGGTGATCTAGCGTTATTTAAGATCTATGAAAATGAGACAGTTTTTTTTACAAATTTGAAAGATATCGGTTTTCAACATTCATATTTATTTTTATACTCTTATATATTAAGTTCGTCATATCGTTTGTAACTCGTCGAAATAATAATTTCAGCGTAAAATTCTAATACGATTTAGCCCTGTCCGTCCGTCCATCTGTCCGTCTATTGTAATCACGCTAGAGTCAAAACAAATAAAAATATAACGCTATTTATACCCTACAACACTATATGTTGGGGGTATTATAAGTTTGATTGGGCCAAAAATTTGTAACACCTCGAAATATTGGTTTCCCACATAGAAAAGTATATATTGATCTATCTATCTCGCCGAGCTGAGTTGATCTAGCTATGCATGTCCGTCCGTCCGTCTGTCCATGTTAATTTGTAATCAATCTTCACGAAATTTAGAATGGAGGTGGGGCTAGGACCAGAATAGAAGCCTATTGCTTGATGATCGCATAATGTTTAGGGGTTGAAATGGACCATAAACTTAAAAATTTCCTGATTTTGCAGTTGCTCTACAGGTCGCAATTCTAGATCAATCGACGCGGAAGTTAGTATGGCGCTAGAGTTTAGGGCTGGGCAGAAGTCTTCCAATTTTGGTGGTCATCGGGTAATATTTAGTGGGTGAAATAGACCATAAGATTTGTATTAAATAAAAGTCAAATTTTCCATTAAACCGCGAATATTTTTAATCCCCGCGAAATCACAAATAAACAAACGGGTCAATTCTGACCGTTACATAGATGCTAATAGTAAATATATCGGATATATATAGCGAAATATATACAATATGTATATATACAAAGGAAGAGGATATGAGCTAGAGTGCTTATATCTCAAGAATGGCTGGACCGATTTTGATAAATTTTGTCAATTCAGAATGCCCTCTTGGCATAAAAGAATAAGATCTATAAAAATCGCATAAAAAGTTGTCAATAATGGTGTTTTTATTTTTTCATATATTTTATGGCATGCGATTTTTTCAATTTGACATATAATATTGAAGTGTACATTTTGTAATATTTTTTCACTTTACAACACAGGTTGGGGTTACTTTATACAGATTGCAATTATCGCCCGTTCCTCACGAAAATTTTCACAAGGATAGAGCTAGGCTCAGTAGGGCTAGGCCTATTGTTTTCCGAGATGTCCGCAATATATTTAAGAGTTGAAATGGACCAAAAACGAAAAAATCAAACAATTGACAGAGAAGAATTCTTGCATTTTGGATGACCCTTGGATTATATTTAGCTGTAAAATGGACCACAACAACTAACAGCACGACGGAGTGCGTAAATATTGGGCAAATGTCCCAATGTAAGGGTAATATCTGGACAGCGCTCCGTGACATAATTTCAAAAGCGAAATCTTCCAAAATGGATGTGGACATAAAGGGGCTTCTAACATATTTTAGTGTTGTAGGATATCACATGGTCGGCCCCGCACGTCTGTAGCCTTTGCTTACTTGTTTTTCCTTATTATTTGCACAGATCAGTCTCTTTTCTGCAGTCAGGTCAAGTTCGAAGATGGCCTTATCGATGCACGATATCGTATAGCCCCATATAACGGTACCCCGATATATGGCATTTTGATGATTGTAGCTTAATTATACCCTCCACCTTGGAAAGGAGGGTATATTAACTTTGTCATTCCGTTTGTAACATCCTTAAATGTTCGTCTTAGACCCCATAAAGTATATATATTCGTAATCAGCATAAAACTCTAAGTCGATTTAACGATGTCCGTCTGTCTGTCCGTCTGTCTGTTGAAATCACGATACAGCCCACATTATTTGACGTAGAGCGCCAAAATTTAGCAGAGCTATTTGCATGAGATATATCGGTCCACGTTCTGGTATAGTCCCCATATAACGGTACCTACCGATATTCGGTATTTTGATGACTTATGCCACATTTTTTCACGGATTTGTCTGGAAATTGGTATTTGTAGGTCATAACGGGTCCCTGAGCCTGTGACAAAACATTGCATGTATAGGTCCACGTTGTGGTATAGCCCCAATATAAAGGTACCTCCCGATATTCGGTATTTTAGTTTTTTTTGCCACATTTTTTCACGGATTTGTCTAAAAATTGGTATTTGTGGGTCATAAAGGTTTCCAGCTCCGGTGGCGAAACATTGCATGTATGGGTCCATAATTTGGTATAGCCCCCATATAACGGTACCTCTCGATATTCGGTAATTTGCTGATTTTTGCAACCTTTTTTCGCGGATTTGTCTAAAAATTGGTATTTGTGGGTCATAATGGGTCCTAGTTTGTGTAGCGAAACATTGTAATTATAGGTCCACGTGTTGGTATAGCCCCCATATAACGGTACCTCCCGATATTCGGTAATTTGATGATTTTTGCCACATTTTTTCAAGGATTTGTCTGAAAATTGGTATTTGTTGGTCATAATGGGTTCCGGCTTCGGTGGCGAAACATTGCATGCATGGGTCCATGATTTGATATAGCCCCCATATAACGGTACATCCCGATATTCGGTATTTTGATGGTTTTTGCAACATTTTTTCACTGATTTGTCTAAAAATTGGTATTTGTGGGTCATAATTGGTCCTAGTTTGTGTAGCGAAACATTGTAATTATAGGTTCACGTTTTGGTGTAGCCCCCATATAACGGTACCTCCCGATATTCGGCATTTTAATGGTTTTTGCCACATTTCTTCTAATGTTTCTTTTACCCTAAGGTGGAGGGTATTAAAAGTTTGGCCAGGCCGAACTTAATGTTTTTTTACTTGTTTTTCAATGACATTTTTTAAAAATCCACACAAGTAGTTGCTTCCGAGTACTTTGCCCATGGAAGCGTATTGTCTACGATATCGTATATCCCAAACATAACGGTACCTCCCCATATTCGGTATTTTGATGATTTTAGCCACATTTTTCAATGGAATTGTTTACAAATCTTCACTAGAAGTTCTTTCTAAGCACTTTACGCCCTGGAAGAGAAATGTCTATATCGATCCACGATATCGTGTAGCCCACACACAACGGTACCCTCTGATATTCGATATTTTGACGATTATAGGGAAATTATTCACTCGATTTTTTTAAATTTTGTATTTAGAACTCGCGATGAGAACTACAGTCTATAACAGAAAATTGTCTATGCAGGTCCAGGTCTTCGTATGGGCTCCATTTAACAGTACCTCCCTATATTCGGTATTTTGGCGATTTTAGCGACTTAATTAATCTGAATTGTTTGAAATTTTGTACTTGAAGTTCCTAATAGATACTACAGCCTGTGACAGAAAATTGCGTATGCAGGTTCAAGTCTACGTATATCCCCTTATAACGGTACCTTCCTATATTGTGTATTTTTATGATTTTAGTTACATTTTCCCCGGATTTTTCATGTTTCGTATTTAGATATTGTTATGTCAAAAGTTGCCAATGCAGCTCCACGCCTTCGTATAGACCCCAATATAACAGCTATATTCGTTATTTTTAAGATTTTAACAGAACGTTTAACGGATTTTATTTATTTATTTTTTTTAAACTTTCCAAATTATTTCCAAGTGGTGGAGGGTATTCCAAGTTCGGCCCGGCTCACTGCTTTTTTACTTATTTCTACTAAACTAATTATGAAATCAATTCTCATTGGATATCGAATGCAACTACTACCAGAGTTACCATTTATTTATGCAAATTATAAAATAACAAATATTTATGATTGAATTCTATTTCTTACAGAATACCCCGTATGCCTTAAAAGATACTGCAAGCAGTACAGCGGCCTGGACATCAACAGCGTTACAACCCTCCAGTTATTATGCTTATGATCCAACGTTTGGTGCGTGCGGGTAAGTGAAAATGTAAGTTTAAATGGTGCGAAGAAATGTTCTGTACAAAAAGTAAATACGCTAAGTATATGCAAGATTTTGGTGGGGAAACATAGTTTTAAAATAATTAATTATATCCTTTAAAAATGCGGCGATTCAATTTCAATGTAAGGTTATATTGAGTATATGGTGCCATAAGTGATTTTTATACCCTCCACTTTACTATGGAGGGTATATGAAGTTTTTCATTCCGCTTTAACGCCTGGATCAGCGCAAAATTCTATGTCAATTTTGCGATGTCTTTCAGTCTGTCTCTCTTATGTAATCATGCTATCTTTCGAACAAATTAAGATAGAAAGCTAAAATTTTGCACATGTGAGTATTTTTCCAGTAGGTAGGTCAACGTTTTCATATAGCCCCCATATAACGGTGCCTGCCGATATTCGGTTGATAATTGTAGCAACATTATTCATCGCATTTGCTTCAAACTTCGTATTTGAAGTTCGGTATCGGTACTACAGCTACCATATAATGATTTTCATATAAGCGGTATTTTTCTACAGATTTTTATATCCTACACCACAAGGTGGTCAGGCTATTTGTCTTTGTGCATTTGTTTGTAACAGTCAAAAGGAAACGCTTTTGATGATCTGCATAGAATAACATTCTGAGTTAATTTATGCATGTCTGTCCGTTCGACATCCGTCCGTCTGTCCATGCATTTTTGTAAACAAAGTACAGGTCGCATTTATTGTCCGATCCAAATGAAATTTTGCACAAATCATTTGTTTGACTCAAGGACGACCCCTATTGAAATTGGATTTTATCGGTCCAAATTTTGACATAGCTCCCATATATATCTTCGTCCGATTTGCTTTTTATTTGGCACCAAACGTGTAATATATGGTTCAGATATAGGCATAGCTCCCATAATGGGAATTTAAACCAACATTGGAATATTTAGACCCTCGTATATGTGTTACATTATCTGAGAATACACTTTAATGTTATCAGAAATCGAGTGCTTAATATATGTGTATGGATTTATATAAACAATATTCTGAAACAGGGTGTAGAACTCGTTATGGACTCTAAATACCGAATTTGAAATTATTGCTTTAAAAAAGGTAGCTAAAAATGTCAAAATATCAAATATGGTGAGATACAATGGAAACGGAAACTCATCATCGAGCTTGACATGCCTGCAGACAAAAGACAACTCTATGCAAAATTTTTGCTTTCAATCACATGCCGAATTTGCCATTCACAGAATGGCTGCTGCTCAGTGTTATTAATACGAGATGTGAATATGTAAAATTTAATTAAAACAAGTAAGCAAAGGCTATAGTCGTGCGGGCCCGACCATGTGATACTCTGCAACACTACAATATGTTAGAAGCCCCTTTATGTTCGAATCCATTTTGGAAGATTTCGCTTTTGAAATCATGTCACGGTGCACTGCCCAGATATTACCCTTAGCATTATGACCAGAGACATTTGCCCGATATTTGAGCACTCTGTTGTGCTGTTAGTTGTTGTGGTCCATTTTACAGCTAAATGTAATCCAATTGTCATTCAAAATGCTAGAATTCTTCCCTGTCCTTAACTCTCTTCCCAGGCTTGTCGATTGACTTCAATTGTGTGATTAGGAATTTTTAGCCCTTCTGAGTCTAAACCTACACTTGTGAAAATTTTCGTGAGGATCGGACGATAATTGCAATCTGTGTATAATAACTCCAACCTGTGTTGTAAGGTGAAAAAATATTACAAAATTTATACTTGAATATTATAAATCAAATTGAAAAAATTGCATGCGATAAAAAATAATAAAAAATAACACTATGCATAAAAGAAGGGTTTATATTAGTCATATCTGAGCTCTATCTGAGATATCTGGTACAAAATATGGTTATGGTAGAGTGCATATTCCGAAAGTTGGAAATTTAAACACCAAATCGGATGAATAATATATATGGGAGCAAATTTGAAATTCTTGCTTCTATGCTATATTCGTTTAAAGTGCGAAAATCCATTTGGACTAATATTAGCCATTTGGTGCACAATAAGCCTAAAATCGGACGAAGATATATAGGGAAGCTATATCCAAATCTGATCCGATCTTGATAAAATTTGAATCTTGTATTGCTAGGCTGAATCTAATATCTGTTACCAAATTTCATTTTTATGGGGTGTATAATACGAAGGTAAGGGACTTAAACACCAAAATCGGATGAAACAGCTACAGCTATATCTGAACCGATTTTCACCAAATTCGAAGTACATGCTTGTAGGGTGAATTCGGTCGGATGTAGCGAAATTCACACCATTTGGACTGATATAAGCCATTTTTATGTGTTTTATTATTTTATGCCAAGAGGGCATTCTGAATTGTAAAAATTTGTCAAAATCGGTCCAGCCATTCTTGAGATATAAGCATTCTAGCTAACATTCCCTTTCTTTGTATATACACATTGTATGTATTTCGCCATATGTATCCCATATATTTACTCTCGACATCTACGCAACAGTCAGAATTGGCCTGTTCGTCTATTTGTGATTTCGCTGGGATTAAATATTCGCGGTTAAATGGAAAGTTTGACTTATAGTTAACACAAATGTTATGGTCTATTCTATCTATCTATCATCTCCCCCACTATATATTATCCGATGACCATAAATATTGGGAGACTTTGGCCCAGCCCTTAGCCCTAGCCATATGCTAACTTCCGCGTCGATTGGTCTATAATTGCGTAGTGAAGCTGCAAAGACCTGTACAGCAATTGCAACATCAGGAAATTTTTCTGTTTTTGGTCCATTTCAACACCTAAATATTATGCGATCATCTCAAAAAAATAATAGGCTTCTTTCTGGCCCTAGCCCCACTGGCGACCTGCAGTGATTACAAATTAATATGGATAGACGGACGGACGGACATACATAGCTAGATCGACTCAGCTCGGCGAGATAAGAAGATACATATATACTTTTCTATGTGGGAAACCAATATTTCTAGGTGTTACATAATTTTTGGCCCAATCAAAATTATAATACCCCCAACACATAGTGTTGTAGGGTATAAACATATATATATATATATATTAAAATCGGTTCATATTCATTATATTTAATTTTTTACCAACTTAAAGTGGTGTTGGGTATCAAATTGTTAGCCCCGCTCTACTTTATTTTTTTAAAACGGAAATCTTCCACAAATTAGACCATAATTTGATTTAGTATCCGTATAATAGTACAAGGTTTGAAAACGCATTTTATTTCGAATTGTCAAACTACATTACTTAACAGACACGTTTCAAATAAGTCACACCTGTCATTTGCCGAATTTCATGCAAATTATATGCGAAATTCCCGCAAATAAATGCAAGTGACTGCTTAACATTGTTTAAATCAGAAATTAATTAGCCCAAAATATTTTGATCAAAGCCGCCGAACCATATTTTAAAAATTATTATTATCTCTTTAAGCAATAATTCACCCATATAATATACGCCATTGTCTCTCGTTGGGTGTCACCTGTGACAGACCATAAAGTATACACAATATTGTTATTAAATTTTTTACGGATCCAAAAACAACACAATTTATGTCCGTTGATGCCGTCAAAGAAAGTTAACTTCAAAAACGGAATAGATCGTAAATTATCGTTTACCAATATAAATATGTATGCCCATGCGAGAGAATTGAATTTAAAATTCTGCAAATGGAATTTGTTGAAGTTTGGCATTTTTGCTCATATGCAAATAATTATAAAAATCGATATATGTAAATTTTTATTTATTGTGCTTTAAAGTACACCAACTCTCACACGGGCAGACTTGCGAATAAAATGCAAAATAAAGCAAACAGTGAGTGAGTATTCACACACACACATATACACATACCGCTGTCTGCATTGAAAATCAGCCAAGCCCGAAAAAAAGACCAGAATCCAATTGCATCTGATGCGTCAATTGTTAAAATATAAAAATAAAGAAGACAAAAAAACAACAATGACAACAAAAAATAACCAGATCAACTCATTGCAACGCCGTCTACCAACTTTGAATTGCCGTTGGCACGGTAGCATGAGTTCGGTGAGAATATTCCGAAAATCCCTTTAAAACAAAATGTTAAAAGGGAATTTAACAATATTATTAAAACCAAATGTCCAATAACAAAACAATGAAACTTCCATACAACGGCAATAACCTTTAAAATAAAGTGCACAAAAACAGCAGTGACAACAACTGCTAGCCGCCAACTGGCCAAGAGTAACATGAACTTTAGCCAAGTTTATAAATGGAGTTTATTTTGGGGTTGCAGTTACGGATGTTAAGGGTCATGACTGTGGTCATTGGTTAACAATGAAAGATTTTGTCTTACAACCACACATTGAAGTATTCTTTGCTATTTTAATTGTTGAAACTAAAAACAATTTAAATATGAACTTTTAAACAATGGAAAATTTATTTTGCGAGTGTTAGGTTTGATACCGTGCACCACTATGTTGTGAGGGTATTGTATTGTAAATTTGATTGGACGTTAAGCTTGTAACGCCTCGAAATATTAGTGGTTCGCCTGTTCATGTTAAATAGTTAACTACTTAGAGGGTGAAATGGATCATAATCTGTATAAAACCAGTAAAAAAAGTCCTAAAGTCGGGCGGGACCGATTTTATGATACCCTACACCACTTTGCTAATTTAGTTGAGCTCCACATAACAAGTAAAAGTTTTTATGGGAGAATTCAATCATACACCCTATGATTATAATTTAAAATTTAAAGGACTACATACGCCGAAGCCTTTGTATCTTTTAAATTCGGACTTGTATTGCCCATTTGGTGCAAAATTAATTCTAAATCAGATAAAGATATATATGGGAGCTAAACCCAAATCTGAACCGATCGCGATAAAATTTGGCAAAGATGTTTCTGAGCTGTATTTGATATATTTCCCTGAATATCGTTGTTACGGAGTGCATATTACGGCTGTGGGTAACAAATACAACAAATCGGATGAACAA